ATGAGGAGGAACCAGCTAATTGGGAAACAAAGGACCTTTAGCACAGAGGACATTTGAGCAGATGGAGTCAAGTGTGGCAGGAGGAGGCACCCAAGATGACCTTAGAGGTTCTCTGAGGCTGGGGTAGAGCTTGAGCCTGTTAGGAATTCCTGTGGGGTTGCTTCTGGGGCAACTGAGTGAGTCCCTAGGGAACTCAGGTCAGTCCTCTGTCACCTACTTTGCTGTGGAGAAGGCTGATTGCTCAGGGGTTGTTTGCTATGGTGTCCCGATGGCTGCCCTGCAGCTGGGTAGGGTTAGAAGCTTCTGGTCATGTCTGACCTACTCTGCAGGAAATGACATGGGAGAGAGAAAAGGGCCTGGGTATGCAGAGAGGAGGTCTGGGGCAGGGGCAGAGGGAGTGGACATCACAGAGGTGAAGGAGGCCGTGAGGGCTACGGGAAAGAAGGGGACATTGCAGATGGATAGAGGAACCTAGGATGCTGCTAGAATAGAGGGTGGAGGCCAGGACTACCTCCTTGCTGACCTTGGCCCAGCCAAGGATGACTTGGACGTGAGGGAATAGTTATCCCCATCTGTACCCCACCTATGCAGTCACTCTAGGAGACTCTCACAGGATCATGTGAATATGAGCGGAACTGGTGTTTTGTGACAGCATGACCAAGAGCCCTCAGACACAGGGGATTGTGTATGTGTGTGTGTGTGTGTGTGTGTGTGTGTGTGTTTCCTTCTATAAATCTCTCTTTCTCTCTCTTTTTCTTTCTCTCTCTCTCTCTCTCTCTCACACACCCCTCCCTCTCTTGTGCTCACTGCCATCCTGCAGTAGTATTTTTGTGCTGAGGACTGAATCCACTTGTATCAGCTTCACTATTAGATCAAGAACACTGATACCCTGGAGGGTGCGGGTGTCAACAGTAAAGGTCACATTTTTTGTCTCCAAGCCTTTATGAATAATAACTCTCCATATTAGGTTATCTGATAAATCAATGCTTCAAAATTTTGTCATTCTATCCTCTGACCCTATTTTATTATGTCACAGTTGTGACTGAAACCCACCTGCCTTGCAAAACCTGTGTTAACCCAGTCAATTGCCAACCCCCAAAACATAATATTTTGCAAAGTTATCCCTATTATGAGACTGTAAGATGATGTCAGTTGAGAGTTGTTTCTCCTTAGTACCTGTAGACAACTTGCTGTTCTGACACTTTCCGGGTCTAGGGAACTGACAGTTCCACTCATTCAAAATATCCAGTCCTGAAAAAAACAGAATCAGCTGCACCTGAGGAGGCCCAGAAACCTGCCCTGCCCCCTTATTTCAGGAATCTGGTGTCCCAGCTGGGCAGGCTAGAAACTTTGTCTCTATGTGGCAGCCTCTGTCTTGTCTCTGTTGCCAGGACAGGGAGGGGCCGTGGGAGCAAGGCGGGTGGTGGGTTTGTGTCTCACTTCCCCATGTGTCTGTTTCACTGTGAGCATCATTACTATCCCACACCTGACAGTAATAGTCAGCCTCGTCCTCAGCCTGGGCACCAGTGATGGTCAGTGTGGCCGTGTTCCCAGAGTTGGCACCAGAGAATCGGTCAGGAATCCCGGAGGGCCGGTTCTTATCAGCATATATGACCAGCACAGGGGCCTGGCCTGGCTTCTGCTGGTACCACTGCACATTTCTACTTCCAATGTTGTTTCCCTCGCAGGTCATCCTGGCTGTCTGTCCTGGAGTCACTGACACTGAGGATGGCTGCGTCAGCACGTAGGAGGCCACAGAGCCTGCGGGGAGAGAGAAGCAGATGTGGGACTAACGCTGAGAGCTCCTTCCCTCAGGCACTCACCCCTCATGCAGCTGGGATGAGCCCAGGGCAGGGTGGGAGTGTGACGGTCCTTGGTATCACCTGTGCAGTGAGCAAGGAGGCCAATGAAGAGCGTGGTCCAGGCCATGGCAGAGGTGCCCTGAATGCTCCTTCCTGAGGCCAAGGCTGGGTGGCTTCCCCCCAGGCCTCTCTTATCCCCTTGCTGGAGAGAGCTGCCCACTATGTAAATCAGCCCAGCTTGGGGCAGGTGCGGAAGGAGATTTCTGGTGTCCAGAGCAGGGCTCAGTCTCAGGTTCACAGAGACAGTAGGGGGGCCCTGCAGACCACCCTCAGTCTGGGGGATGCTCCTTCACATGTGAGTGCATATGCAGGTCCCAGACATCCACCCTGTACTGTGTCCTGGCAGGGCAGCTCAGCCTTCTTGTCATGCAGAGATCAGACATGGAGGTGGGGTTTCCCAAGATACCTGAAGTCCTGCCTGTGGGTGGTCCTGTCCTGGTGCTATCTAGCAGGAGGACTGGAGACACACATGCAACTTTGAGCAAGTCCAGGACTTTCCTGTGTTTAATTCTGGCTTGGAAACAGGTGGTTTTGGTCTGAGTCAGTAGGGGAACAGGGGATCCTGTTCATAAATGCTTTCTAGCAGAGTCCAGATGTCAGGTGAGTCCTAGCTTCATTTTAGAGGTTCAGTCACTGAGCCCACTGCAGAGACTCTCCTGAAAGTACCTCGTGGGTGACAACCGGAAGCAGACAGGTGCAGGATATTATCCAGATCTCAGAGCTGCTCAGTGGAGAGACAATAGAAGTCTTAAATGGAGCAGGCATAGCGATGCTCACCTGTGATCCCAGCACCCTGGGAGGATGAGGCCAGACTAGCACAAGTTCCAGCACAGCCAGGCAATGTTGGGACTTACAGAGACACTGTCTCAAATAAAATAAAGTACGATGAAATAAAATATGAAAAACCAGTGTATTTCACCCCGAAGCTCATGGATTCAGCTCACAGTACTGAAGATAAATTTCTTAAATTGTTAACAAGTGCTATACATTTCTTTATTTGGTTGTGAGCTCTTGGGGTAGGTTCTGGGTACTATGTATTAGTATACCCAATATATTCAGAAACTCAGGGTCAGGTCAAGTGCTGATAGAAATGTTTATAAGCGAGTCCCAGAGCAGTATAAACTCCAGGAACCCTTCATATAACGGTGCATTATAATGAAGTTGTCATCAGTTGCCAGAGAAATTGTATCAAGTAATAAAAACCTGATTTACACCAGAACAAGATCAGCGAGGAAATATTTTATGCCTCATACTGAGAAGTCAGAGTGAGAAAATATGGCAGCTGCTCCCAAGAAGAAAAAGGTATAGACCAGGTCGAGGTTAGGCTGAGGGAGCTTTCAGACAAAGAAAAGAGATGCTGCCTGGCCCAGACCCACCCCATGACCAGGCGACGTTGCTAAGTGACTCTCTGCTGCCCCCTCGTGGTCACTACACAAGGCTGCTGCGGATCAGGAGTTTTGTCCAGGGGTAGATAAAAAATCTGTTGTTCATGTCTGTGATTGCCTGATTTATAGCCTGCTGGCCCCAGGGTAGAGATTTCTCTTCTCTGTGTGGCACCTGTGTCCCTCAAGACCAAGCACAAGGGACTTACTTTACTATGAAAAGGTGGAAACTTTAATTTAGAGGAAGAGGGGTCAAGGTCCACTTGACACACCTCTGCACTTAATTCTGGGATTGTGGATGGTCATGAGAGTGGTACTGTTGCTTCACACCAGCAGGCACTGGCCACAGAGACTATACAAATACTTGGAAACTGTGCATGTGGATAGTGGTGGCTACTGTACCAAAGACAGAGACACTAGATCAGATATTCAACTTATTTATGCAGATCTAGTTTTGTCTGACCAAAATTCTACCCTGGGAATTCAGCAGGACCAAGACACAGCCTTTGGGCTCAGAAATTTCCATTCATGTTGGTGGCTTTGTGCAGTAATCACACTGAGGTTATGGACACAACAGGGGATCCCTACCGTGTTCTCTTTGTTCACGATGTCCTGTGGTTTCTTAAATCTGCACTCATTTCCAAAGTTCTCTCCACTGAGATTGACTATGTGGCCTAGAGCTGTTCCAATGGACACAGCAGTCTGTTGGCTGGATTTTTCTTGGGAAGATGCTGCTCTTATGAGGTAAGGAGGCAGAACAGACTTGTGAACCACTTTCCTTCTTGAATATGTGTGTAGTAGCTGGAAGTGAAGCAGCCATCTTGAAGTCTTTAGGCAATGCAAAGAAACATAAGAAACCAAAAGCTGGTATTATTGATGAAGAGTGGCTTTCAGGAAAACAAGTATCATTTATTTCTAGCTTTCTCTCTGTGAGAGAAAAACAGGTTATCATTCGTTTTTGCCTCAAGGGGCCACATATGACTTTGCAGTGAAAGAGCCTTTCTGCTTGATTAGTGAGATGATGGATAAAATTCATCAGTTATAGGAAATCATAGGGAAGAACCTCAGCATTTCAGTGCATATGCTGATAATTAGTGGAAAGGTCAGACAGTGACACTCTAAGAGTCTGTCATCAGAAGTTGGTGCCCTTCCTGACATGGTGCCTCTGGATCTACCGTGGGGGTGGACTGAGGGAACTCAGGGCAGGAGTGCGTGGAGGGAGCTGAGTCTCCTTCTGATAAGAGGAGTGAGATGTGTGAGGATCTGAAAGGACAGTGGGAAACTGAATGGGGTCCTGGAATGGAACTACTTTAGTTCAGACAAGGGAGATCTTTTAAATGAAAATCGGGGGCAAGAATGATGTGCATCAAGAAGGTAGTGCAAAGCTCACTGGCCACTGTGGTTCCAGAAAATAGCATATTAAAATCTGGGAATTCTTTCCCATTTAAATATTGAGAAAAGTAGCAAATGGTTGAAGATTCCACAGCAGGGAGGATATGCAGCATGTTCCAAGGTGGCTCCTTTAGTTGCTCCTGTGTATGTGCATATCTGTATCAAATGTGGAGGGGAATTGATGATGGGAAAAGGAACAGTTTGTTTAGCTCAAATCCTCACTAGAGAATCCCAGTGTAGACCATGGACTTCTGAAACAAGGCCATGTGATCTGCAGCATACAATGACACATCTTTGAGAAACAGCTCTTGGTGCGGTACTAGATCCTGGTTGATACACACAACATGGGAGTCCAAGTGACTATGCCCCAGAATTTTGAGATTCCCTTAGCTGTGAGGTCAGCCAGACCAGCTTGTGGAATCAAAAATGGGTTTCTTGTTTTAAATTGAGGGCTTTGGTAGATTTTAGTGACTAATTGAATAGAATAAGTTATATTTTGTAGAATTGATCACATTTATGTTTTTGGTTAGAAGAGTTAAAATAATGTGCTTTTAAAAAAAGATGTCAAGAGTGCAGGCAAATAAGATTCTCTTTAGGTCATATGACACTGGTAATATAAAAGCAGAGCAGAATATGAGGCATCTGGAATTGGAGAGGGTGTGGAAGAACAGATTGCTGCATTACATAGTTATTTAAGATGTGAGATTTGGAGCTGCACCTTGGACAGCTTTGGGAACTTGGGTGAGCTGCTGCTGGCCCCACACATGAGTTTGGGACCAGGCAGAAACCTGGACAGCAGTGGGGCTGAATCTGTACAGCAGTTTTGGGAGTACGGCTATTTTCACAATGTTGGTTCTTCCTACCCACGAGCAAGGAATATTTTTCCATTTACTGAAATCTTCTTCGATCTCTTTTTTCCGAGTAATGTAGTTTTCATTGAAGAGATCTTTTACTTCTTTTGTTAGATGGATTCCTAAATATTTCAATTTCTTGGATGTTATTGTGAAAGGTATGGTTTCCTTAATTTCTCTCTGTCTGTTTGTTGTTTGTGTATAGCAACGTGAACTTCAAACCAAGAACAATCAAAAGAGATAAAGAAGGTCACTACATACTTGTGAGGGGGAAGCTTCAAGAGGAAGAGATAACAATCGTAAACATCTATGCACCAAATATAGGGGCATCGACCTATATAAGACAATTTGTAACAGACATGAACAATGAAATAAGTGCAGTATAATCATAACAGGGGACTTTAACACACTGTTGTCACAAAGAGATAGATCAACTAGACAAAAAATTGGGAAAGAAATAACAAAACTTCTCCAAACTTGTGAACATATAAACTCAGTAGATCTTTACAGTGTTCCACCCAACAGCATCAGAATACACATTCTTCTCAGCTGCACAGGGGACATTCTCTAAAATAGATGATATACTAGTACATAGAGCATGTTTAAGTAAATGCAAAGGAATTGAAATTATCTCATATATACTATCAGACCATAGTGCAATGAAATTGAAAATTAATGACAAAAGAAAACACAGAAATTCCATAAACAGTTGGAAATTATTTAACAACCTCGTGAACAACCAATGGGTCACAGATGAAATCAAAGTAGAGATTAAATACTATTTACAATCAAATGAAAATGGAGATACAACCTACAGGAACCTGTGGGATGCAATGAAAGCAATCCTCAGAGGGAACTTTATAGCGGTGAACTCCCAACTTAGGAAAACAGAACAAGCACAAATAAAAAATTCTTATGCTGTACCTCAAGTTCCCAGAAAAAGAAGAGCAAGTCAAACCCAGAGCCCAAAGAAGGCAGGAAATTATAAAGCTCAGAGGAGAAATTAATGCAATGGAGACTAAATACAAAGAATTACTGAATCAAAGAGTTGGTTCTTTGAAAGAATAAATAAAATAGATAAACCCCTAGCAAACTTTATTTAAAAAAGGAAAGAAAAAACTGAAATACACATAATAAGGAATGAAAGGGGTGAAATCACTACAGATCCTGAAGAAATTCAGAAGATCATCAATACCTACTTTGAAAATCTTTACTCTCATAGCATGGAAAACACAGGAAATGAACAGATTTCTAGATACATATGAATTATCAAAGCTGAATGAAGAAGATATAAAAATCCTGAAAAACTCAGTATCAGCCAGTGAAATTGAGAATGCAATTAAATACTTGCCAATGAAGAAAAGCCCGGGTCCAGATGGATTCACAGCTGAATTTTACAAGCAATTTAGGAAAGATTTAACACCAATTTTTCTCAAACACTGTAATGAAACTGAAAGGGAAGGAATTTTCCCCAACTCATTCCTGGAGGCAAGTATTATCATGATACCAAAACCAGAGAAAGATCCAACCAAAAAAGAGAACTACAGGCCAATCTCCCT